TTTTTGTTACAAATAAGCGCGTTTGGGCAGAGCTGAGGCGGGTTCGGGTGTCCGCCGGGGGAGGTGGGGAGGGACAGACCCCAGACCTCTCCTGGGAGCATCGGCCGGGCCGTGAGCAGGGCTCGGAGCCGTCCCCGCCGTCGCTCCGGGGGGGAATCAACTCCATGGAGTGATCAGGCCGTAGTGGAACAAAACGCCGCGTAGCTGCTCGGCCGGGTGTGCTCCTTGTGTGCCGGGAGGTGCCTGCGCCTGGACCTGCTCAGTTCCACGGGGGATGTGCTTTGTGCCGGCCGTGTCCTGCTGGTGGGTGACCCCGGTGGAATGAGCCGTGCGGGCAGGGAGGGGGGTTCGTGCCGCTGTGGCCATCCCTGCTGCTCACCCCGGCGAGGTTACCTGGAGCCAGGTGCATCCTCGGACAGGAGAGGCCTGGAGAAGGTGTGGGAACCACCAGCGCACGTCTCTGTGCTCTCCCAGGCCTGTGTGGCCGCAGGCTCCAGCTGCAGGCAGCCTTTTCAGCTGCCTGGAGATGCTCCTGCTATTAATTAGCTCAGTTACTCCTTGATCCTGCAGATGTTTTCATATCCACGGCTGCCTGGAGCACGTTGTTGTGGCACGGGATAAATTCCCTGCGGTCGCTCAGATGTGGTGCCACATTTTCCAAACAAGGAACTTGTTTGGTTTCAGAAATTACTTAAGTCTCTAAATTTCTGGGCGGACCTTTGTGTTGACAGTGTTTTTGTGTTGTTTTCTCCGATAAATTGTGTCCCTTAGGCACCTTGTTGCAGCGCTGGAATGTGCCCCCAGACCTGCAGCTGAGCAGACAAGTGCAGACAGGCGTGCCCGGGGAAAAAGGCAGTAATAAGTTTTTTGCCTTTATTGTGGGCTTGACCACCTTAGGAGCAGGTGCCTATGTAAGTAGAAAGGTGGTTCCTTGGGAAGAAGCCACAATCCATCTCTCCTGTCGAGCGTTTTCTGTATTCCGGCTCTCTTTACTCAGCTTTTGATCTCTGTAGCTTTGTCTCTGCTTCCTCCTTCAGAAAACTTTAAGGGGAGCTAACTGGAAATTAACTTCTTGTGATTACTTGGTTTTTAACTGTAATTTCAGTTACCTGTTAGGGGTTTTTTTACCTTAAAGGCACTCTTGGGTTTCTTCTGTTATGACCAAACACAGCTCTGTCTGTTGTCATGTGTGGGATTTGATACCAAAGCAAACCTTTCCTTGCCAAATCTCAGTTCAGAACATTTGTTTAACTTCTTTAAGGATACCAAATCAACTCCCAATTTGTGAGCATTTATGTCCTACATGAAAAGAATAAGGGTTTTCGGCCCGACTTAGTAAATGACACTCCCAGAGAGCTGAAGAGTAGCAGCATTGCCTGGGAGTGGATGGATCCCAAGTTTACATCAAACAAATCTGTGTTTCCAACTTCTTTCTCTTAGATGATCATATTCATTAAAAGTTCCAAATCCTGATTTTCTCCTAAAGAAAGTCCTGGGAAAGGGGGAAAAAAAAATTTAAGACAGTGCATGGAGGAAAAGATTTTCCTATTGCCTTTAAATTTAATTCTTTCCTGTGCCTTTCTGCCCTTTTTTCTTTGGCAGCCAAGGTAGCTGAAATTACAAAGCCCACTCTGCTTTTCCTAGGGCCTGTTTAATCAAGAATCTCTCCTAATATACAGCTCTTTCCTTCTTCTCTTCCATTGCCTGTCTTCACCTGCAGTTTTGCATTGCCATCCACTAAGATGCCCTTCTAGATCCCTGATGTCTTCAGGTGTTCCTGGCAAAGCTGGCAGCAACCTCTTGTTATACTTAATAGTGGGAGGAACAGTCACTGGGACAGGAGCTTATGTAAGATGCTTCAAAAAACGTGTTTATGGGGTAGGAGGGTGGAGGGAGGGCACCTGTCTGTACCTCCCACTAAGTTACCCTTCACTTCAAACCCTCTTTGTGCTCCACGGCCTCAGGTATTAATTTTCAAGGGGGCACTGCCAAATAATTTAAGGTTATGAATTTGATATTCTCAGGCAGCGCAGTTCTCAGTGGAGAAATCTGCCTTAGAATTAACCTTTCCACTTTAAGTAAATCTAAACCAAACTGGCCATCTTTGATTTGTAACCATCAGAAAGGCACTAGTTCATTAATTAATGCACCTGTCGTGGTATCAGTAATGTCAGCATGCTGAAAAGGAAATAATAACTAAATATAAGTGTGCTGATGGTAAGAAAATTTGTCCAATGTTATGATTTCTTTGGGGAAGAGCACTGAAATGTCACCCCATGATCTGGCAAAGTACAGTTGTGTTTCTGACTAGAAAGAAGTTGACATTGTCCTGTTGGAAATATTTGTCCTGAAGGCCTCATCTGATGTTTTGCTTGTGGTTTTTCCTAAGAGATAGGTTTAATTTGCAGTATGCTGCCCTTTGGACTCGCTGAAAACTTTCCTGGTTCTGCTTGCAAAGACAGAGGTGGTTTGTTAACCTTGGCTTTTCTGTCTTTAAGCAAAAGGCTTTAAAAATATCATTCTCTTGAATTCTGTTCAACACTGACAAATTGTTGTTTCTGAAATTTTTGACATTACTCCAGTTCCCTGGACAGGCTTTTGTCTGCCCATGATCTTTTTTTGTGCCTGGCATTAAATTCCTCCATTTTTATTTGAGACTATTTGCTATAAAACACCAACTTCTGGGAGTTGGCAAATGAAATTTGATGTTGTACAAATGCTAGAGATTATTAGCAAGGCTGGGTTTTGCCTTAAAAAGAAGGTTTGCTTCCCTCTAATTTGTTAGCCATGGGGGCAAACACTGGATTCTCACCTGCTCCCAGCACTCCCAGTGTCCAGCTCCTCTCCATTACCAGTTCTTGTTGGAGGTTAACATGACGTAAGAGATGTTCCCTCTTTGTCTGTACCACTAAATTGTACCTGCTGTATCCAGAATTTTCACAGTCAAATAAACAGGTGAGCATTCAGCTGGAAGAGATTCCGTGTCCAAAGGCTGTTACCTGGAGCAGCCCTGCTCCCGTGGCTGAAGGCACTGCTGAGATCAGGGGTGTCACCACTGCCACCACCATGCCTCTAACACCTGGCCTAGAGAAAGCCACTCAGGTTGTTGGCTCTGCCCGGCTGCTCTGCGCTTGGGAAGCTGGGAGATGCTTTTTCTTTGGATTCGTCTTCCATTTTGCAGCCTTGTGTCGTGGCCCAGCTTGCACGTGGCCTCGGGGTTGGTTTGGCTGCATTTCCTGTGCTGGAGCTGGTTCCTCTTGGAACAGGTTTGCAGCCAAACACCTACAGGAAGGTTCATTGCTTCTGGGAAGCAGCCAGGCATCCAAGGCTCACCAGACCAGGGGCAAAGCAGGTAATTTTCTGAGCACAGTCTCAATGGGCTCCTTGTCCAGTGAGGTGTATTTTGGTCTGTGTGTTTTAACTAAAAGCAGATGGCTTTTCCAGCACGCGGGATGGACAAAAACCTGTCAGGGGGTAGGAGCAGGATGGTGCCTTGGTTCTGTAAGGTGTACAAGGTCAGTATCTCCTGTCTGTCTCCAGGTGTACAAAACACTGAAGGACAACAAGGAGCGATTCACCAGCCGGGTCTCGTCGATTACGCGACCCCAAGACGAGGAATCCTCTGCAGCCGGTGGGTACCAGCCTGCTGGTTCTGGGGTCGGCTCTGTTCTCAGCCTGGGACTGCCCAGCACAGAAGATGGTGCTGGCTCTCCATGACCCAGAACCAGACTGTTTTACAGACAATCCTGAGGGTGAAGCAGGGTGTCTCCTCGGGCTGATTTCTGCTGGTTATTCCTTCTGTGATAAAAAGAGAAAAGAGTGAGCCCTGCTTTTGGCTTTTACCTTTGTGCAGTCTGACAAGGACATTGTGATTCCAAGGGGCCTCTTTCCCTGGATAGCAGAGGAAGAGGACCTGCCCGTGCTAGGAACTCAAAAGTGGTCTCCTTTAATACAATTACAGAAATACGTGCCTCAGCCTTTTTGGGAACTTCCCTTTCTTATCAGCTGTTCCCTGGTTGGCCAGTGCAGAGTTTTTGGTCTTGCTTAGAAAAACCAATTTGCTGAAATCTGGCTGGTTTCTGCAGGGAGCCAGCTTTGGGGGAAGCATCAACATGGTTCTTGGGAAGGGTACGGTGGTGGAAGGTATTTGGAGGACAATTAGCCAAAGGAAGTCAGGATGTGGAAGGCCCCTGGCGAGACCCAGTTTCCCTGAGTGTTTGCAGTAAGGTGTCCCCTCTGTCACCTGCATCTCCAGGCACTGATGTCAAGGTCCCATCCCACGTCCCTTTCCTGCTCATTGGTGGAGGAACTGCTGCTTTTGCTGCTGCCAGATCCATCCGTGCCCGTGACCCCGGAGCCCGGGTAAGAGCTGTCCTGCTCCAGAGCAGGCCTGTGGCTGCTGAATGCTGTGCTCGCTCCAGAGCCTCTGTGTGCGTTGCCATTTGCCTGCCACTGCTCCAGCTGATGTGTTTCCTGACCAATTACAGGTGCTGATTGTGTCTGAAGATCCTGCCCTGCCCTACATGCGTCCACCTCTTTCCAAAGAACTGTGGTTTTCCGATGATCCCAATGTGACAGAGACTTTGCGGTTCAAGCAGTGGAATGGCAAGGAGAGGAGGTATGTGGCACTGCAGGTGACAAGGCTGAAGGGGAGTGTTTAGTGACAGGGTGGCAATGATCAAAGAGTTCTTGGGAGAGAACCACAAGCCACTGTAGGTGTGTTGGTGCTGGCAGGGCTTGAGGAGCTCTGCTTCCCACCTGAGTCTGCTCTGTACGTGATAGCTCTTGAACCTTGCTATGATTCCCTTAGACATGTCCCACCATGGGAATCCTGTGAAATAAGTTAATAAAGGTGAAGCTCCATGGGTTAGAACAGAGCTCCAGGGACACTGGATCACGTCTGATCCTTGTAACATCTGTGATTAACCCTTACTTGATGGTTGGACTTGATGATCTTACAGGTCTTTTCCAACCTGACCAGTTCTATGATTCTGTGATCCAAAACCCTTGAACTTCAACAGTGTGAAGACTCTGATTCTTAAGAATAGATAAATAAGAGTTCTGGAGCTTGTTATGGATGCCCAGAGTTGTCTTTGTCTCATTGGAATTGCTGAATAGCTGGATCTTTGGTATCCCAGAGCAAGTGGAACCCATTTGGTAATGGAGCTTTTCTCAGTATCTATTTCCAGCCACCGTCATTCTACGTACCTGTCCAGGACCTGCCCTCTGTGGAAAATGGTGGGGTGGCAGTTCTGTGTGGCAAGAAGGTGAGTACAGCACTGGTTGTTGTTCCTACAGCTTTTCCCAAGCAGAGCCTGGGCTCTAAGGCTGGTACTGAACCCCTGGAGGTGCAGGGAGCGTTGGCTGGGAAGGGGGATGTGTACAAGTCTGGGAAAAGTGTGATGGAGCAGAGGTTATGTTAGTCTTAAGTTTGAAAACAGGAGAAGCCAAGAGGAATAGCAGTGAGCTGAGGGAAGATGATGAAGAAGAGAGAAGGATAGGTCTGGAGTCTGGGCATGGGACAAGAATATGTAGAGCTTAGAGACAAGATGTGACAAAGAGGAACTGGGCTGTGTTGGCCGGAGGGTGAGGTGAGGAGAGCACAGTGATCCAGGTAGTGGGTGATAAGGTGGCCAGGAGCAATGTGCAGAAGCAGCAGGAAGGTGGAGAAATTTAAGGTGAGCCTTCTGCTATACTCATGTCCTCAGTTTTTTGTATGTTGCTATGATAAGATGTCAGTGACTCCTCTTCCTGCTGAGCTGTGCTGTGTCTGAGCCCATTTCAGACTCAGACCCTGGGAAGATCAGTCTGAGCTCTGATGACTCCCTTAGAAGTTGTCTTAATTCCCACTTCGTCGTCTCCCTTCCCACCTCCTACCCCCCTGCCCCTAAACTTAAAGGTGGGAAGATGTTAATTCCAAGTTTGCATCTCTGATCAGTAGTGCATGCAGTTTAACTCAAACAGCCACAGTGCACAGCAGCTTGAGCTTGGCTTGGTTAATCCTGCAGGTTGTACATATGGATGTTAGAGGGAACACAGTGAAGCTCAGTGATGGGACCCAGATAACCTACGACAAATGTCTCATTGCCACTGGTAAGACTTTGAGTTTTTTTTCTCTTGTTCCTTGTCTTGTGCCAGGCTTTTTATTACGGTGGCATTTAGCTAGAGATAAATTCTCTAGAGCACCTCTCCTGTGGAGACAGGCTGGGAGAGCTGAAGAAGAGAAGGCTCTGGAGAGACCTTAAAGACTCTTCCAGTGCCTAAAGGGGCTCCAAGAGAGCTGGAAAGGAACTTTGGACAAGGGCCTGGAGCGACAGGATAAGGAGGAATGGCTTCCCACTGCCAGAGGGCAGGGTTAGGTGGGATATTGGGAGAAATCCTTCCCTGTGAGGATGGTGAGGCCCTGGCACAGGTTGCCCAGAGAAGCTGTGGCTGTTCCATCCCTGGAAGTGTTCAAGGCCAGGTTGGACAGGACTTGGAGCAACCTGGTCTAGTGGAAGGTGTCCCTGCCCATGGCAGGGGGTGGAACTGGATGGGCTTTAAGGTCCCTCCCAACCCAAACCATTCCATGACTCTGTGGTTCTGACAAGTTTCTTCAGTAAGTGAAAACCCTTGGGAGAGCAGTCACACAGAGGACAGTCATGCAGCCAGCTATGCTGTTGGCTTTTGCAGCTGTCTTGCATCATCCAGCTTTTCTAGGACTTCCAAAGTTTTGGCCTGTGAAGGGTAGGAAGGAGGAAAATGTGACTTCCCTGGAAGGAGCTCCTGTACAGACCAACCTCTTCAAATCCTGCCTGTGTGGCAGCAGCAAGCAGAGCCAGCAGCTCTTGCTTGGGCAGAGCATTGCTCCAGCCTTGGCTCCAGCATTTCTAGAGCAGTTCAGGTGGCACTGGCTGTCTCCAGGCAGTGGGGCAGGGCGTGGGTGTGGGGTCACCCGCTGCTCACACAGGTCAGCAGCAGGGATGGAGCATATTGCAGCAGTTTGGAAAGCACAGTCGGGATCCAAGGCAGCTTTGCACTGTCTGGATAGCCAGTGCCATGGCCCTGGTGTCACTGGTCTCTCTTCTCTCCCTCCTTGTCCTCAGGGGGAACCCCAAGGAACCTGCCCGCCATCGAAAGAGCAGGAAAGGACGTACAGAAAAGGCTGACGCTGTTCCGAAAGGTAATCTCCAGGTGCTGCCAGTCCTGGGGCAAGACTGAATAAATCAGAGCCACTACCACTGCTTTCAGCTTTTAAATTCTTCTGCTCTGGCCAGGACAGCCTTGCCTTGGCACTGCTTCTCTCAGCTGGTGCCCAGGAGTGCATTGGTGGTTCATTCCTTTTCCCGGGCAGGAAACCAGGGTAGAGTCTGCTCAACCAGTCACCTGCTGGCCTCAGGCCTGAGAGCTGTCATAATACATGGGATTATGGGATTTTAGTTTGTTTTTTTTTTCAAGTTTCCCTCTTATATGACTTTGCTGCACCTTCCAAAGTGAATAAAAGCCTTGGAAGATGGTCAGTGATCTTCTAAGGTCTGCTGTAGAGTTGCTTTTTGTTAGAAAACTCCACTTTTCTTGAAAATGTAACCTTCTCCTTAGTCTAGTTCAGGGAATTGATCAGGAATAAGAAGGCATATGAGAATCTTCTGTTCTGTGCTGGACTCCCCCCGAGGTGTGGTCTGCTTAACTGGAAAGGAAGGATGGATGATGTGAGCTGTTGCATCCTTTTTATACTGGTTGTGCTGCAGGACATTTAAGTTTAGAAGTTTTACTGTAATTGCCCTTGAAATTCAGGGGAAATGCAGGAATTTGAGATTTCCTGGTCAGGTAAAAGCTTGCACAGACATAAGGAATCCAGGGAGGTTTTTCTGTGCAACAGGCAAACAGGAGGAAGGAGCAACACATCTCCTTTTCTAAGCTGGGGAGAGAGTCATTCTTATTTCAGAGGGAGAAATTGGAGACAAATGCCTTCTGCTGCCATTCCTGTTAGAGAGGATTTGAAATGGGGGTAAATATTCTTTCAGATCGAGGACTTCCGAAACCTGGAGAAGATTTCAAGAGAAGTCAGGTCCATCACAATTATTGGTGGTGGTTTCCTTGGCAGTGAGCTGGCCTGTGCTCTGGGAAGGAGAGGTGAGTGTGTATCCTCAGCTGTGACAGACACTGAGTGGAAGCAGTCTGATGTTAGAAACTTCTTTTCACTCCCAACTGCTCAGTTTTTGCACAGACTTTGTGTTTGCCTGAAGGAAACTGAAATCACATGTGTTTTGTTGGCTGCAAGGCCAAGATTTTCCCAGTTTCTCCCTCATTAACTGCCCAGCAGCCCCTGACCACAGAGGTGGGAGCTCTGCAGGCCAGTGCATGCTGCAAAATTACTCCACCTTCTAAAAAATCACATTTGTCCTCTGTGCTCAAAGCCACCTTCAGACTAGGATTTCGGGGTTGGAACTGGATGATCTTTAAGATCCCTTCCAACCCAAAGCACTCCATGATTCTGTGGTAGTAAACAGCTGGATTCTGCCACTGTGTGAGGAGTGACTTTTTGGTAATTTTTCTATGTTTTCTCCAAAATACCAAGCATTTTACCTAAAAGGCTGTTATCTAGAGTTTGCAGGTATGCATGTGAAACAGTCACTTTGTGACTCCCAGAGAAAGTCTGGGAGCCAGAACTCTCAGATTTGGAAACTTCTGTCAAGCTCCTTGTGTAAAGTCAGGCATGTGTGTCCTGACATCCGTGCTGCTGCTCTCTATCCCACTGCTCTGTGCTTCCCTTCCAGCACGAACCCGAGGCCTGGAGGTGATCCAGCTGTTTCCAGAGAACGGCAATATGGGCAAAGTCCTGCCTGAATACCTGAGCAACTGGACCACAGAGAAAGTCAGGAGAGGTGAAGCTGCAGAGCAGGGGGGTGGGCCGGTGGCTGCTGTGCAGCTCTTGCTGGTGACATCCAGCTCTGTTCTGTCCCTGGGCTCTGCAAGGTGGCCCAGGTGCAGTGCAGAGGAAGTTGCAGTTCAGGCAGCTCAGGCAGCACAGAGCTGCCATGAATCCCTGGCTTCTTGGCAGTTCCTCTGGGAAAGCTGAGCCAACAGGCTTGCTGATGCCAGTGAGGCTTTCCCTGTGGCTGTTGCTCCCTGGAATGGTCCCTATGCCCATGCACACACCTGGGTCAGGCCAGGAGCTGTAGTGTTTAGCTGCTAAAGCCAGTAAGATCCAAGACACCTTTTTCCATTTGCTGCGTTAAGTGCAGAATATTCCTGTGCATTGGGAAGTGGAGCGGAATAGAGGGAGGAGGAATATCATCTGAGTGTGGATTGCAGGGCCTGATAACCCACAGGTCTGAGTTACTTTCCTTTTTGAAAGCTGCCTTGTTGGACCTCTGGGTCTGGCTGAGGCACAGCAATAGGTAATCGAGTGTCCTTAGTTCCTGAACACCTGTTTTGGGGAATTCTTTTGGATGTGACCTTGTTATCACATACGACATGTACTTTGGATTGTCATTCAGGCAGCTCTCTCAGACTTTCTATCTGTATTTCTCCTCGTGCTTCCTTCCAAGCTGTACTGGCACAGCTTAGGAGGTCTCTGTCTTGGTTCCTCGCCTGGAATCTGTCTGCACCAACCACCTGCTCCAGGTGGGATCTGCCCAGCCCTGAGCAGACACTGAGGTGTCCTGTGCTTATTTCCAGAGGGGGTCAACGTCCTGCCCAATGCTGTGGTCAAGTCTGTCTCTGTCTCTGGCAACCGGCTGGTGATTCAACTGAAGGATGGCCGGAAGGTGAATGGAAAAGCAGGGAGAGGGTAAAGCTTGGAGGGGCGTGGAGGGAATGAAGATCCTAACTACGAATTCCCAAACAGGTGGAGACAGATCACATTGTGGCTGCAGTAGGGCTGGAGCCTAACGTGGAGTTGGCCAAGTCAGCGGGGCTGGAGGTGGACTCGGACTTCGGGGGGTTCCGGGTGAACGCGGAGCTGCAGGCACGCTCCAACATCTGGGTGGTGAGTGTGGGCACAGCTTTCTGGCTGTGCTGATGCAGCAGCTCGGGACACACGAAGTTGTGGGGCTGGTGCACTGGGGCGAGGTGAGAAAGAGCGAGTAAGGAGTAAGGAGAGCAGTTGTAGCGCAGGCCCAGAGCCTGGTCAGGCATCGCAGCCGCCTCGTTGCCGTGGTAACCACGGCGAGTTTGGAATATTTATGCTGTGTAAGAGGAGTTGGGGTAACCTAAAGATAGCCTGGATCGCTTGCTTGCGTAAGAGTCCCTCGGTGGGCGTCGTGACTTTTTGATTCCTCTGGAAAACGTACCTCATGCTGCCTTATTTTTCCAAAGATTGGTGAAAAAATGCCGAGGAACTGGGAGTTGTGTAGCCCAGGGAGTGGGACGAGGTAGTGGTGGCGTTTGGGGCTTGTCAGAAAAAGGCAGTTCCTTGTTCCGTTTGTTCTCTCCCCAGCCTTTCTTTGGGCACTAGTCGAAGCTGTGGCTGTCAGTGTTTGGTGCTCACTGGGTGATTCTCTTTAAGGCAGGGGATGCTGCCTGTTTCTACGACATCAAACTGGGCCGGAGACGTGTGGAGCACCACGATCACGCCGTGGTGAGCGGGAGACTGGCTGGAGAAAACATGACTGGAGCTGCAAAGCCCTACTGGCACCAGTCCATGTTCTGGTAACGTTCCTTTCTTCCTCTGGGGTTCCTTGTTTGGCCACGTTGCAGGAGCTCGGACAAGATGCACCTTGGGAAGTGTGTGTTTCCCAAGAGCAGTGAAACCACCTCAGCAAACGCCTTGTACAGCTTCGTGTTCCCAGAGCCCAGGGAGGGGGAGGTGTTTGAGCATTCGCTGCTCTGCCCTCACCTCTCCGAAGTGTTTATCCTTCCTGTAGGTTCCAGTTTGTCATAGTCCCATTCTGCAGAGCAAGAAGCAATAAAGAGCAGCCCTGTCCTCAGAGCAGGCTGACTTACAGGTGGAATTTAGCAGCAGCTTTTCTGTTACGAGTATGTGACGTTCACCAGCACAATCTGTTGGTTTCAGTTGTGTTGCTGAACTGATGCTTTAGTGGCAAAGCATTGCTGCATCCAGGTGTACCTGAAAGGTTGTTTTCCAGAGAGAGGTATCAAGAAAATGGGCAATTTTGCTGTATCTTCCTGAAGTTCTTTTTGAAACAAAGCGAAACAAAATGGAACAAACTTCACAAAAAATTAAAATCCCAAAGGCTGTTGGTTTGAGGTCAATTTAACAGGATTTTAAATATAGGGGAAAGAGTTTTAGTTTTCTCAGAGAAATCCCTTCAAAAATAGGTATTTATGACCTGCTGTCATTTACCTGAACTCTTGGTCTGTCCTGCCTGGGTTGTGGGCACAGAGCATTTCTCACTTCACTTTTAAACAAGAAACATAGAACCAGAGAATCACTGAGGTTGGGAAAAACCTCAGAGATCGTGGAGTGCAGCCAAGGACACAGAAACATCCATTTCCCAGGTGTGTTTTTCCTCAGGATGCTCTTGGCCACAACCAGATGCAGGTGAAGGAGGGCTGTGAGTTGCAGCCCTGTTTGTTGGCAGGTGTCACTCTGGCTTTGCCAGCCTTCCTTCTCCTCTGCTGAAAAGCTGGGAAATGGCAGGAACTCCTCATGCACTTTGTCAGGATGTTCAAGACCCCATAGCAGCCTTCCAGCATCTGAAGGGGCTGCAAGGAAGCTGGAGAGGGACTTTTTAGTTAGGAACCGGAGTGACAAGGCAAGGTGGAATGTGTCTTCAGACTGACCGAGGGGAAATTTAGGTTGGATATGTGCAAGAAATCCTTCCATACTATGAGGGTGGGCAGGCCCTGGCACAGGTTGCCCAGAGAAGCTGTGGCTGCCCCATCCCTGGAAGTGTTCCAGGCCAGGTTGGACAGGACTTGGAGCAATCTGATCTAGTGGAAGGTGTCCCTGCCCATGGCAGGGGCATGGAATGAGATGAGCTCTCAGGTCCCTCCCAACCCAAACCACTCTACGATCCTTCCTGAGCTCTGACTGATCACTGCTGGAAGCCTGCTCTGGTCAGCTGGCATGTTACTGGTGTTCCTTGCAGCAACCCCAGTCTGTGCTGGAGGATTCTGGCTGGGAAGGTCGTGATGTACATAGATCCAAACTGTTTTGTGATGCATCCGTTCCCTCAGCATCCTGGGGAACACTTGAGACACCTGGTACTTACAGGTCCCAAACCACAGCTGCTTTGTCTCCTAACAGCACCCCGGTTCAGATCCAGGTGCCCAGTTCAAGGAGGTGTTAGGACAAAGTGTTCTTCTCTTTAGTTTTTAAATACTCTCTGAAACATGCTCTAAATAATTGTCCGTGCTCCCAAGCCTGGTGTGGATAACAGCCATTGCCAGAAGCTGCCACCCAGGAAGCAGCCTTGAAGGATTTCAGAATTTTGGTCAGGGAACTGGTTTTTCTGAAGCTGTTGACCTTGGACTTGCTGTGTCTTGGCTCCTTGTTCCACCTCTGTATGCAGAGCAGACACCGTGTGTCAGTCACTCTGCGTCCGCGATCGCCCACACCAGGCTGGCAGTAAGGATGGATGGATGGAACTGCCTTGGATTTGTCTCACTAGTGGTACAAATTACTTTATTTCCACTTGATTCCTAGGAGTGATCTGGGCCCCAACGTGGGGTACGAAGCCATTGGCCTCGTGGACAGCAGTTTGCCAACAGTCGGAGTCTTCGCGAAAGCGACAGCGAAGGACACGCCGAAAAGCGCGACAGAGCAGTCAGGTAAGGGCCAGGTGTGCTGGGGAGCCTGCAGGTGTTGGTGTGGGCACACACAGTCAGTCTGAGAGCACAAGGAGTCAGCAATCTGCTACTCCCTTTCTAGACCAACCTTTAAAGGCTGGGTTTGATATTAAAATGTGATTAAACCACAGCGTTCCTCCAAGAAGCTATCAGGTAACTTATCTACTGACATGCAGACTTTCCCAGTGAAGCTCGATCTCCTCCACAGCAATAAAATGATCAGTTTGGGACAACAGAGACTGAAGATCCAAGCACATTTATTTTGTATTCACTACCTGGAGGAAGCAGACTTTTCTGTCCTAGGCACTTGGGGGTGGAAGTCAGGAATTGTCGGGTGTTGTGCTCCAAGTTGGGATTGTTTCATCCTTGTGTTAATGAAACTTAACTTTTGGGGGACACAGCTCTTGAGTCTGTTCTTGTCATCACATGTCCTGCCCCGGGTGTGTGACACCTCATGTCTCTGCCTTAGGGACTGGAATTCGATCCGAGAGCGAAACGGAAGCGGAAGCCTCGGAAGTTCACATCTCTCAAAGCTCTTCACCGACACCTCAAGTCCCGAAGCAAGGAGAGGATTACGGCAAAGGTGTCATTTTCTACCTCAGGGATAAAGTCGTGGTGGGAATCGTGTTGTGGAACATCTTCAACAGGATGCCCATTGCTCGGAAGGTCAGTGCAGGACGAGGATGATGGGCAGTGGGGCTTGACAGAGCAGGGATTTCCTTGTGGAAAAATCAATCTGCCAATCCAGAGTGAGGATAAATAAATGCAGATGCTCTGTCTGACGCAGAGCTGGGCAGTATCCAATTCACCCTGTCCTGGGTGAATTAGGGGAGCTGTCCTTGTGCTTTTTTGCATGTGTGTGCAAAATTTTTACGGAAATGAATCAAGTGTGTGCTCCAAGCCTTGCCTTGCCATGGCTGAAATTCCAGGCCTATAATAAGTAGAGGCTGGAATCATGGTGATGGAGCATGAGTGAAATGTCCCATCTTTGTGCTGCTTTGTCCAATGTCCAAGTGCCTGAAACAGTCTCAAACATCATTGTCCCAGAAACAGCCACAGAGTCAGGGCTGGGACAGCCCTGAGAGGTGCTTAGTGTGTCTCCACCCCCGTGGTCTGTCTCAATCCTTGCAGGTCAGCTCAGCCAGGCCGAGGTCAGGTTTTAACACCTCTGGAAAATTTCAGTAGTTTAAACTATGGGAGTGATCCCACACTATCCCCAGGTGATCTCTCCCAAAACGAACTATTCGTGGTAGAAGTTTTTGATATCTAATCTGAATCCTTTATGATGCAGTTGAAACCTATTGCTTCTCCCATCCCCGTGGAAGGGAGATCCTTTCCTTCTTCCTTCCCTTAGCAACCTTTCCCCTAAATCTGAATGTGCAGAGTCCTTGGCCTCTTCGTCTTGTCTAAAAGCTGCAGGTTCAAGCCAGGTATCCTGGCTCTGAGACAGTGCCAGCCAGGCTCACCTTCACAGAACTGAATCACTTTTTGAAGACACTTATTCTCCCCAGCTGTAAAGGGAAACCCAGAAACAAATCCCACAGGGACAGGGAGGTTGGTTTTCCAGCTGTTCCTGTAGGCAGGTGCTGGTATGTTTAAGAGTCCCATGTGAATTTGGGTGCAGAAAGTGCTGTTGTGTTGTGGCTGTCTCAGTCTGGTGCTTCAGAGAGGATCTGAGGAGTTCCTGGCATCGGCTGTGACAGTCCTGCAGCGCTGGCTGTTTATAGGATGTGCAGGATTTAATGCCTTCTCCTTCCTCCAGATCATCAAAGACGGGGAGGAGCATGAGGACCTCAATGAAGTAGCAAAGCTCTTCAACATCCACGAAGACTGAACTCTCTAAGGGGAACATGGCACTAGGAGCGAGGGGGCTGCTGGCTGTGTGCATCCCTTCACCTTGGACAGCTTCCCTGGAGCACTTGGGAATATTCCACTCACCTGAGCCCAGTGTTTGCACCAATAAAGTCAGATTGTTCTAGTTACCTGCTTCTTCCTGCACCGCTGCCTGGCTGGTGAGGAAAGGGGACTGTGCTGCCAACTGGGCTCAGTTTTCCCTTGTATCAACCTTGGAGAAGCCTGCAGAGCTCCCTCTTTCCTTGCAGTGATTCCCAGCTGGGAGTTGGCAGGGCTTCAGCCCCTCCCATGCCTCAGGTGCTCCAGCTCCTGTCTGGGGCTCTGTGGTCCTCACTGCACAGTGCCCGTGTCTGCCTGCAGCTGGACAGCCCCAGCTCACACCCTGTGTCCCCACAGCTGGCTTTGCCCACAACACCGAGCTTGGAGAGCCTGCAGGGAAAGCTGCTGCCATTGGGATCCTTCCCAGGCCCCACATCACACGATCCATGGTGCCTCTCCTGTTTGCTGATCCCCTCCCCACTATGCCCAGGGTGTCACTGCTGGTCCCCAGGCACAGGTTACCTGGATGAGGGAATACAGGTGTGGCAAGAGCTGGCACCAGATGCCACTTGGGCTCTGAGGACAGGGCTGGGAAGGGCAGGGGTGGAGCCACACTGTCCCACAGAGCAGCCATCTCGTGACACCTACATCCCACAGGAGCCCTGGCACACCTGGAGGAGCCAAGGAGCTCCCTGGGCCTGAACTGAACATTCCACCACCTGGGTGGTGACAGCTCCGAGGAGGTGCCGCTGCTCTGCTGTCCAGGCTGCAGGGGGGGATCCCCACACGCTCCCAAAAGGTGCCAAGAGCAGCCGTGAGGGACCTACTGTGGTGGAAGGGGCTGCTCGGGGCGGGGCCTCCGTGAGCAGAATGGGATGTGGGGTGCTGCCCCATGCCCAGTTCCACCCAGTTCTGGGCATGGGCATTTCCCTGGTGTGGTGGGTTTGACCCTGGCCGGATGCCAGGTGCCCACCAAAGCTGCACCATCACTTCCCTCCACCGCTGGACAGGGCAGAGAAAATGCAACAGAAGGTTCATGAGGGAGAGGTCACTCAAGGTGATTCAGACTCTGACTTGGGGAAATAAGTTACCCATTGCAATCAGAACAGGATGATGACGAGTAAAACAAATCTTAAAAACATTTTCCCCACACTTCTCTCTCCTTCCCAGGCTTTCCTTCCTTCCCTGCAGTGCAGGGTGTTGGGAAGGGGGGTCATGGTCAATTCAAAACATGTTGTTTCTGCCTCTGCTCGTGGAGAGGAGTTGGAATCCTTCCCCTACTCCAGGGTGGAGTCCCTCCCACAGGAGAAATTCTCCATGAACTTCTCCAGTGTGGGTCCCTTTCCATGGGGTCAGTCCTTCAGGAACTTCACTAGCATGGGTCCCCTACAGGGTGACGAGTCTTACCAGCAAACCTCTCCAGTGTGGGCTTCTCTCTCCATGGGTCTGCAGGTCCCTGCCAGGCCCCTGCTCCAGCACAGCCTTCTCATGGGTTTACAGCTCTCTCTCGGGCATCCCCCTGCTCCTTGTGGGCTCCTCCCTGGGCTGCAGGTGGATCTCTGATCCATCAGGGACCTCCTCAGGCTGCAGGTGGATCTCTGCACCCCATGGCCCTCCCTGGGCTGCGGGGGCACAGCTACCCCACCATGGGCTGCCCCACAGGCTGCAGGGGAACCTCAGATGTTGCGCTTGGAGCACCTCCTGCCTCTCCTTCTGCACTGCCCTGGGGGTCTGCAGGGCTGTTCCTCTCCCATATTCACACTCCACTCTTCTTGGGACCCAATTCCATCTCTGCAGTAACTTTTTTTTCCTCCTTAAGTCCCTCATCCCCGAGGTGTCACTGCCATCTCTGACGGGCTTGGCCTTGGCCAGCAGCGGGTCTGTCCTGGAGCTGCTGAAACTGGCTCTGACAGACATGGGAGAAGCTTCTCACTGTAAGCTCACCCCACCCCTCTACCAAAAGCTGGCCACGCAAACTCAATACACCTGGCAACTGCCCTGGGTGATGCAGGGCCTCACAGAGCAAGGGGGCCATTGTAACATTGGGCATGATGGCACCAAGGATCCATTGTGACATTGCAGGGCCTTGTGGCATAAAGGAAGGGGCCCTTGTGACACTGCAGGGCCTCATGGCAGCAAAGAAGAGGCCACTGTGACACTGCGGGGCCCTGCCCTGCCCTGCCCAGGAGCTCCCTGGGGTGCCCACTCAAGCAGAGCAGAACACCTTGCTCGGGAGGCAACAGCTCTCTTTTCCTTCTCTCACCTGCAGGGAAGGAACCACGGAGAAGAGGAACACCAACCTGCGCCCCAAGGAGGGGCACCAGCTGAGAGACAGGACAGGGGGCAGAGGCCGAAGGTGGGATGGCGCCGGTCGTGCCAACACTGTGCCAAAGCAGCCGCCTCCATTCCCGTCCTCCCGCCCGTGCCAGCGGCAGCCTCAGGACAGCCAGGGCCAGCCCCTCGGTGAGGACCCGCTGTCCTCGCCCTCCAGCACGCTGAGCTCCAGGGGCTGTCCTGGCCGTCCCTCGCTCCCGGCCAGCAGCACCGCCGCCCGCAGCCAGCGCCGGCGGGTGAAGAGCTGCTGGGCCTGCAGTGGGGTGGCGAGGCCGGAGCCCCAGCAGCAGGACAAGGACCACGGATGGTCGGATGAGGCTCCCCTCGTGCCTCAGCGCTGCAAACACATCATCTCCCGTATCCCTGTCCGAGCAGCAGCTGCTGGGAGGAGCCAGGCGAGCCCTGCCAATCCCCCTCTCCCCTTTCACGCCTACAAGGGGAAATCATCCCCCGGCCCACGGCGAGAGGTCTCTCACTGCGTCAAGCAGGAAACCCAGCCTAAGACCCCAGCACAACGGGCGGATTCAGCTGTTCGTCAACACGCTAAGCAGGAAACCCACCTCGAGACCC